CGTCTCGGAAACTGCGGATCTTTCAAGGTTGGACGATCCCAGCGGTGTCAGAAACCAACGCCGACGTCGGCACGACACGAACCTGCCGCAGGTGTTCCAGAAGTCCTGGAGTGTTGTCCAGGCCAATCGCATCATGGCATCATTCTTCCACTGCCGATGTTTTGCCTTGGGGGCCGAGGCACCGGGGAGCATGGAAGCGAAGCAGGGATGCTGCAGGTTCGCGCGGCGTTGTCCCGCGCGGGCGTTCGGGGTTGAACGCCGCCGGTGGCCGTGAACAGGCCGATGTAGCGCGGCCTGCGCAATCGGAAGCACGCGGTCGTTCCAGGTTGAAGGATCCAGGAGGTGTCGCAAACGAACGTCCACGTCATCGCGACGAGAACTTGCCGTAGGCCGCCTTGTGGTGAGAAGCCCAGCTGCTGCTGGCGACTGGCTCAGCTGGTGTTCTTGTCAGGCTGCAAGAGCTGAGGACAAACCCACGGGACCAACATTCTAGCCGTGACAATGTGCGGTGGGTGACCTCCTCCCACCGCTATGCGACAAAGCTGCCTCGTAGGCAAGTTGTGTAAGACCAAAAGCTGCCCGACTGCCTCCAGTTGATACCGTCTCTTTATCTCGTCAAAAAGAAATCCATCACATTGATATTTCATTGTTGCGGCGCGCATGCGACGTAGCCGCCTGGACCACCAGAGCTACGCAGCTTGTAGGTGCCACGTGCATGGATAACATATTGGTACCCGAGTTTCCCCAAACTGACCACATCGCCATCTCATGGACGTATGACACCGGAGAAAAAATCCCAATCAACATCTTTTTAGGGCTATTGGGCTATAGGGCGATGGGGCTGTGACGCTATAGGGCTATGGAACTATAGGGATATACGGCCATAGGGCTATAAGTATATAGGGCTATAGGGCTACAGGGCCATAGGGCTATAGGGCTTTAGGGCTATAGGGCTGTGGGGCTATAGGGCTATGGGCTATATAGAGATATAGGGCCATAGGGCTATGAGTCTATAGAACTATGAGGCTACAGGGCTGTAGGATCATAAGGCTATAGGGATATAGGACTATGGCGCTATAGGGCCATAGGGCTCTAGGCATATAGAGCTATAGGGTATAGGGCTATAGGGCTACGGGGCTACGGGGCTACAGGACTATAGGGCTATAGGGCTACAGGGCTATTGGGCAGTTGGGCTATTGGGCTATAGGGCTATAGGGCTATAGGGCTATGGTGCTATAGGGCTGTTGAGCTATAGGGCTACAGGGCTATAGGTATAAGGCTATAGGGCTCTAGGGTGATAGGACTATAGGGCCATAAGGCTATAAGGCTATAGGGCTATAGGGCCTTAGGGCTATTGGACTATGGGGTTATAGAGCTACACGGCTATAAGGCACCCAGGCACCCGGGCGGGCCGCGGAAGTAGGAATCTGCTAGGATAACAGATACCGGATAATAACCCGGCTATAGGGCTATAGAGCTATTGGGCTCCAGGGCGATAGGGCTATATATGCTATACATATATATATATATATATATATATATATATATATAGAAATAGAACCAAGAGGCGTATAAGGCCTATCAGATATAGGGCGATATGGCTACAGGCATTTTGCGAATGCTACAGACATAGGGCTACTGAGTAGTAGCTAGAGCTATAGGAGTCAATGGCTATAGGCTTTAGGCTATAGCTAGAAGGCCTTGGGCAGTGGCTATAGGCTAGAGCTAACTGGGCACTCCGCGCAAAAAACCCGGCACACGGCACCCCGGCACCCGGGCATCCCGGCACCCGGGCACCCGGGCACCCGAGGGCACCCGGGCACCCGGGCACCCTGGCGCACCCGGGCACCCGAGCACCCCGGCACTTGGGCACCCGGGCGTGCCGCCGAAATCGGCGCCGTACCTCACGAGCCACATGACTTCGCTAGGACCCCTAGAGAGGCAAGCTCCGATTGGGGAATCCTGGTGCCCTAGTTGCCCCAAGCCGACCACATCGCCACCTCATGGACGTGTCATAACTCCACCACCGAGTACTTCGAGGATCGCAGTGCCCATCCCAGACCCCCGACGTAATGATTTTTTCATTACGTCGACCCCAGAGTTCTCGACCCCTTCCCCAGGACCGGTTTGTGATCCTGAGTCGTTTTTTGACGCTCCCGAGGCCCGGTGAGGGCCCCCCGAGGCCGAAAATGGCGAAAAACCTCCCGTCATGATTTTTTCATTACTCGAGGGGGTCTGGGATCTGCCATGTCACCCATTTTCCTGTCATCGCCACCGGGCCACGAGCAGCAAAGGCAAGAGCACGACGAGCACACGGCGGGGGCACTGGTCAGGGAACGAGCACGGGAGGCTCCAGACCCTGGAGGGCTCCCTCTCTGATGACGGCGGCGGTAGCATCCACTGCCAATCCGCGATGGGCGTTCCACTGGCTTCCAGACCCTGGGTTCGTTATCCAGTGCTTCCTTCCCAGACATCCGACGTCTCGATTTTTTCGAGACGCAGGCCCCCGACCCGACCTCCCGACCACTTCCTTGGGACCGGTTTTTCGTCCCGAGTCGTTTTTTGACGGCCCCGAGGCCCAGCGAGGGCCCCGAGAGGCCAAAAACTACGAAAAACCTCCGTCTCTCGATTTTTTCGAGGCGCCCGATGTCTGGGTTCTGCCCCGAGAGGCCAAAAACTATGAAACACCTCCGTCTCTCGATTTTTTCGAGGCGCCCGATGTCTGGTCAGAGCTCCGCGAGCCGGATCGCGTCCTGGGGGCGCGAAGGGAGTCGCGCGCTCGGCGCGTCGCGCGCCCCGGGCCGGAGGCCGGCCCGCCTCGAGCGAGGCCTCGCGCGGGACGCCGAGGTGACCTCGCAGCGAGGGGCGCGGGCCGCAAAGGCTGGTTGACCTGCGTAAGCTGATGGTGATGGTGATGGTGGTGGTGATGATGGTTGTGATGACGATGATGATGACGATGATGATGCTGATGCTGATGCTGATGCTGATGCTGATGATGCTGATGCTGATGCTGATGATGATGGTGATGCTGATGCTGATGCTACTGCTGATGCTGATGCTGATGCTGCTGCTGCTGATGATGACGATGATGATGATGATGCAGATGCTGATTGGGGACGGTCGAGAGGGATGGTGGTGAGGGCGATGCGATGATGATGAGGATATGAGATATGATGATGATATGAGGATATGATATTGGTGAGATGATCTGATGATGATGTTGCTGATGGTGGTGATGTTGAGTGAGGTTGATGGTTGAGGATGATTGGACGAGATGATGATCATGATGTTTTCCTCCGGCGAGGGCGCGTCCGCAAAGCAGTTACCGCGCACGCTGAAGCGTGTGGTGATCATGATGATGATGCTGGTGATGATGACGATGGTGATGATGAGTATGATGATGATGATGATGATGATGATGATGATGATGATGATGATGATGATGATGATGATGATGATGTTTTCTCCAACGAGGGGCGCGGGCCGCAAAGTTGGTTGACCTGCGCAAGCTGATGATGGTGATGGTGATGATGATGGTGATGGTGATGATGATGATGCTGGTGATGGTGATGGCGATGATGATAATGATGATCATGATGATGACGGTGATGGTGATGATGATGATGATGATGATGACGATGATGATGACGATGATGATGCTGATGCTGATGATGATGACGATAATGATGCTGATGCTGATGCTGATGCTGATGATGATGATGATGATGATGATGATGATGCTGATGCTGATGATGATGATGATGGTGATGCTGATGATGTTGCTGCTGCTGATGATGATGATGATGATGATGATGATGATGATGATGGGGACGGCGATGATGATGGTGGTGATGGCGATGGCGATGATGATGATGATGATGATGATCATGATGATGATGATGCTGATGGTGGTGATGATGATGAGGATGATGGTGATGGTGATGACGAGGATGATGATGATGATGATGTTTTCTCCAACGAGGGGCGCGGTCCGCAAAGCTGGTTGACCTGCGCAAGCTGATGATTGTGGTGATCATGATGATGATGCTGGTGATGATGACGATGGTGATGATGAGAATGATGATGATGATGATGATGATGATGATGATGATGATGATGATGATGATGATGATGATGATGATGATGATGATGCTGATGCTGATGATGCTGATGCTGACTAAAGACGATGCTGATGATGACGATGATGATGAGTGAGGATGATGGTGTGGTGGATGATGATGATGCTGTGATGGTGATGCGAATGATGAAATGATGAGCATGATTATGACGTGAGGGATGATGATGATGATGATGATGCTACTGAGATGATAGATGATGGTGATTGTGATGGTGATGGTGATAGGTATGGTAGGAGGTGGTGATGTGATGGTGATGGTGATGGTGATGGTGATGGTGGATGGGATGGTGATGGTGATGGTGATGATGATGATTGGGATTGCGATGGTGATGGATGGTAGAATGTGATGGTGATGGTGATGGTGATGGATGGTGATGATGATGATGATGATGGTGATGTGATAGGTGGTGGTGATGGAAATATGATGATGTTGATGATGATGATGAGGAATGATGATGATGGATGAATGATTATGATGATGATGATGGTTGCCCTGCGCAAGCAGCCATTCTGGTCCGAGCCACCGGCCTCAGCGCAGGGCCCCGCCACCCGTGGCCCTCGGAGAAGAGACGGAGTGGGCAGAAGCCTCCAGAGGTCCGCGCGGCTTTCTCTCGGATCTGCGCTGGCATCCTTCTCCCCATCAACCTCCTCCCTCTTCTCCATCCTCGCTCCCTCCTCCTCCTCCTCCTCCTCCTCCTCCTCCTCCTCCTCCTCCTCCGTCCCCTCCTCCTCATAGTTCCTCCTCCTCCTCCTCCTCCTCCTCCTCCTCCTCCTCCTCCTCCTCCTCCTCCTCCTCCTCCTCCCTCCTCCCCCTCCCCCTCCTCCTCCTCCTCCTCCTCCTCCTCCTCCTCCTCCTCCCTCCTCTCCTCCTCCTCCTCCCTCCTCCTCCTCCTCCTCCTCCTCCTCCTCCTCCTCCTCCTCTTCCTCGTCCTCATCGTCATCGTCATCTTCCTCCTCCACCTCGTCCTCCTTCTCCTCCTTCCTCCCTCCTCCTCCTCCTCCTCCTCCTCCTCCCTCCTCCTCCTCCCCCTCCTCCCTGCGCCCTGCGCTCCGGACGGGCCCCCTCCCCCGGCGCGCGGGCGGAGCTCGCCCAGGGGGGCCCGGCGCCGATGCGAGACGGCCGCGCGGACCTCCGAGCGGCCCGGCCCGCGCCGGCCTCTCCTCCCCGAGGGGCCCCCGCCGCCTCCCGTCGGCCCGCCGCGGCCCGCCGCGGCGCCCGGCGCCCGGCGCCCGGCGATGCAGCAGCGCGACGCCGTGGAGGAGATCGCCCGCCAGCAGTCGCCCGCGGGCATCCTCGCCCGCGTCGTGGCGCGCAGCAAGGCAGCCACGCGGTCTTGGTGGCCGATGCGGTCGTCGTCGTCGGAGGGCCTGGTCGTCGTCGTCGTCGTCGTCGTCGTCGTCGTCGTCGTCGTCGTCGTCGTCGTCGTCGTCGTCGTCGTCGTCGTCGTCGTCGTCGTGGTCGTCGGCGCCAGAGGGCTTCCGGGGGGGCCGTCGTCGCGACGTGGGAGCCGTTGTGGCCGTCGATGTCGGAGGTCCGGGCGCGCTCCTGGTGTGTTTGCTTTCGCTCACGATCGCGGCTCAGAAGGCCCACGTGTGTGTGTGAGAGAGAGAGAGAGAGAGAAAAAAAAAAAAAAAAAAAAATGCGCGCCTTTCTGTTTCAGGTTGCTGCCCAGGAAGCCCACATGTGAGCGAGATTGCGCGTCTCTCCCTCGAGGGCCGCGGTCTGAACCAGCTGAGCGCTTGAGCCAACCGCAGTCCAAACCAAGCAGGCCGCGTTTCTGGAAGCTCGTCGCCACGGCTGGACGCGGCTCGAATTGTTGGCTAGGATGGGCTCTGGTAGAGGGATCCAGGGGCTGATTTTGAGCTGATTTTGTTGGAGGGTCGCCAACAATGGAAACGGGGTTCTGAGGGAAAGGGTTCCTGAGGTTTTCTTCCTGGTGTCATTAGGGTCCAATGATCCCCCAGATCCGTCGAAAACCTACTCAAGATGAAAAGCTGGTCCTGGGGAAGAACCTGAGGTGCAGGACCATCGATCCTCGAACCCCGACCCTCGAACCTCCAACCTCGATCCTCGATCATCGCTCCTCGTTCCTCGAAACTCGATCCTCGATCCTCAAAGCCGGATCCTCGAACCTCCAGCCTCGAACCTCGATCCTTCACCTTCGAGCCTCGATCTTCGATCCTCGAACCCCGATCCTCGAACCTCGATCCTCGAACCTCGATCCTCGAACCTCGACCCTCGAGCCCCGATTCTTGATTCTGGAGCCTCCAGCACGTGACCCCTCCCCTCGTGCCGACAAGGGCCTCCCGATGCCGCCCATGTCCGCCCGGCGCGCCGTGCTGAACGAGAGCAGCGGCCAGGGCTGGACGATGTGGGCGGACTGCTACACGCCCCAGGAGCCCTGCTCTTTGTGCTCCCAGCCCGGCGGGCGTCACGGACGGGGCGGAGGGGTGGGGCACTTTCGCAATGGGGGGCGATACAGTGGGGACCCCTACCAAGAAGCACCCCGCTTGCCTCCAGGGTGCCCTGGGTTTCGTGGGTTTCGATGGCTTTGCGACGGAGAGCGTGACGTTCCCACACCGAAAGTCCATGGACGTCCTCGGGTCTCAGGGCTGGGTCTCTTGTGGAAGGTTTCTTGTGGACTGGCCTGCATTGTAGGCTGGCCCCGTAGGCCGCCGCTTCCTCCTCCTTCTCCTCCTCCTCCTCCTCCTCCTCCTCCTCCTCCTCCTCCTCCTCCTCCTCCTCCTCCTCCTCTCCTCCTCCTCCTCCCTCCTCCCTCCTCCCTCCTCCTCCCTCCTCCCATCCTCCCTCCTCCCTCCTCCTCCTCCTCCTCCTCCCTCCTCCTCCTCCTCCTCCTCCGCCCCCTCCTCCTCCTCCTCCTCCTCCCTCCCTCCACCTCCTCCTCCTCCTCCTCCTCCTCCTCCTCCTCCTCCTCCTCCTCCTCCTCCTCCTCCTCCTCCTCCTCCTGCCTCCTCCTCCTCCTCCTCCTCCTCCTCCTCCTCACGCGGGTCGAGAAGAATCGCAGCCCTGGAGGGTGCCTCCGCCTTCGGGTGTTGTTCGCCTGGGATGGCTCCATGGGGCCTTGGGCTCTCGGCGAAGGGGCCCCATGCTCTTGACCCGCGCTCCTGTGCCCGTGCTCTGATCCGATTGGTAAGCCGCGGGGCATCGAGGGCTGGAGGAGGACGGGCGCCCTGAAGGGCTAGGGGCCCCAAAGGGCGGCCCCTGGGGCACCGAAGGGGGCCCCAAAGGGGCCCCACTGCGACGACCCCCCCCCCCCCCCCCCCCGGCCGCGCAGCGGGCGTCGCGGTGGAGTGGGGGGGGGGGGGGGCGCGCAGCGGGGGGGGGGCGCGATCAATGGAAGGGGGGGGGGGGGGGGGGCAGCGGAGAGGGCTGCAGAGAAAGGGCCCCTGCAGGGGCCCTCGGGGGCCAAAAATGGAGGCCTGCAGGGCCCGTTTCCCCCCCGCCCCCGCCCCTCCATTTCGTCGCCCCCCTCCATTCCCCGACCCCCTCGAGCAATGAAAACATCATGACGGGAGGTTTTTCGCCATTTTCGGCCTCTGGGGGCCCTCACCGGGCCTCGGGAGCGTCAAAAAACGACTCAGGGTGACAAACCGGTCCTGGGGAAGGGGTCGAGAACTCTGGGGTCGACGTAATGAAAAAATCATTACGTCGGGGGTCTGGGCGACGACGCCCCAGCGGGGGGGGGGGCCCAGCTCCCGGACGGGAGGGCTGTTCGGCCCGGGTGGGCTTCCTCAACGTCGGCCTTCAGGGCGGAGGGGGGGGGGGGCTCCGTGCGCGGGCCCCCGGGGGCCGTCGAAAAGGGGCCCGGGGGGGCGCAGAGCTGCCTCGGGGGGGGGTGGGGGGGCGGGAGCTTTGGGGCCGCGCACTGCAGGGAGAACACGTCTTCGGATGTCTGGGGGCAGGAGCCCTGTACCTCCGGCGATGGCAAACATGGGTCAAGGGGGCGCGGACTAGCGACGGCTCCCGCTTTCGTGAGAGACCGCTGGCTTCCGCCGCCGAACGAGGCGGCACCGGCCGCATTTTGGGGAGGGCGCCTCCCCCGATCCATGGATGTGGCGACCGCGCGCCAAGTCCAGGGATCGCCAGTCCATGCTTGCGCGCCCCCGGGTCACGTAACGTCTTGTGGCCGCGGGCTCCTGGGAACCCAGACCCCCGACGTAATGAATTTTTCATTACGTCGACCCCAGAGTTCTCGAACCCTTCCCCAGGACCGGTTTGTCATCCTGAGTCGTTTTTTGACGCTCCCGAGGCCCGGTGAGGGCCCCCAGAGGCCGAAAATGGTGAAAAACCTCCCGTCATGATTTTTTCATTACTCGAGGGGGTCTGGGCATGCGCCAGAGCAGCGGAGAGGACTGCCAGGACACTCCCGGGCCCCGCGGGCGCCGGACGCTGCGCCCTTTTAGGGCTCCGACGGCGCGATGTGCCCTGCCGCAGCGTGGACCCCGCGAGGTCTGGACCACTCTTTCGGGACCGGCGGTTCAGCCCAAGTTACCCAGACCCCCTCGAGTAATGAAAAGATCATGACGGGAGGTTTTTCGCAATTTTCGGCCTCTGGGGGCCCTCACCGGGCCTCGGGAGCGTCAAAAAACGACTCAGGATCACAAACTGGTCCTGGGGAAGGGGTCGAGAACTCTGGGGTCGACGTAATGAAAAAATCATTACGTCGGGGGTCTGGGTAACACGGGAGTTACTCCAGAGTTCGTAATAAAAGAAAGGGAGGGGGTCTGGACCCTCCCAGACAAGCCGCTTCAGACCTCCCCCGTGGGAGAACCCTCCAAAACATCGTCCCCAGACCCCCCAGGCCCTCCAAGATAGCCTGGAAGAGACTCCCCCCCGAAATGAGACCCCCCTCCCTTTATTACGAAATCTGGAGTAACCCGCGACCGGCAAAAGCAATTGTTTTTTGACGGTCCCAGGGCCTGGTGAGGGCCCCCCGTGGCCGAGATTTGGCGAACACCGCCCGGCGCAGTTTTTTTTTTGTCGACGAAAGGAGGTGGGGGTACCAGGGGCGAAGGGCCCGGCAACGGCGAGTAATTAACTGAAAAGCGCGCCCCTGGAGCGGCAATCCCTTCTGGAGCGTCGTTTTGCCGTCGTCATTGCCGTCATCGTCGTCGTCGTCTTCCCCGTCGTCGTCGTCGTCGTCGTCGTCGTCGTCGTCGTCGTCGTCGTCGTCGTCGTCGTCGTCGTCGTCGTCGTTCCTGTCGTCGTCGTCGTCGTCGTCGTCGTCGTCGTCGTCGGTCCGTCGTCCATCCTTCGCTGTCCGTCGTCCTGGGCCCGGCGGGCACAGAAGAGCGCGCCCCGCAGAGCGGCAACCCCTTCTGGAGCGTCGTCGTGCCCACCGGCGTGCCCGTCGCCATGTGCATCGCGATCTGCCGCTTCTGGAAGTGATCGGGGGCGCCCGCGCGCGCTGCAGCGGACGGGCAGGACGACGACGACAACAGCAACAACAACAGCAACAACAGCAGCAACAGCAGAGATTGGGTGCGATGGAAGACACAAGAGGGCGAGGATCGAGGGTTTGGAGTTTACGTGTTGAATGGCACGCGAGCGGGTAAGAGCGAACAATCTTAAACTGATCGTTAAATTCAGGTCGGGTATGTCCCCCCACAGGGGGCTTTGGACGACAAAGTAAAAATAATTAGAAAATGCCCCCCCAAAGGCTCGAAAATACTAAAAACATAGTCCCACGACTATTTGTTTACTATGTTTGAATATTCCTCCTGCAGAGGGACAGGCCCGACTTAACGTTAGATTCGACCCCGATGGGGGTACGACGTACCCCCTTACGGGACCAGTTACCTTTCTTCACTGCAACGTGCATTTCGTGCAGCTCCTAAGGCATGGGAAGAGAGGGCGGATGGAAGGAAGGGACAAGGGGGAAGGCGGAATACGGAGCACGAGAGAAACAGGAGGACGGCTAGGAGCAGCAAAACCCCTGGCAGAACCAGACGGGCAGATCGGGCGGGTAGACCCTACAACCGGCGGGTCGGGAGGGCTGGCCCAAACAGCCAGGTCGAGCAGGCGGGTTGCTGAAGCGTGCGTCCTGCATGAATCGCGAGGAGGGCTCGAGCGATAACGCGATTCTCAAGTAAATCGTGAGGAATTCCAGAGGGAGAACGTGACTCCTGAGTGTCGACGACGCGGCGTCTGAATAAATTGCGAGGAAGTCTTCCGCGAGAGCGCGATACCTGCATAGCTTGTGAGGAAGTCCCGCGCGAGAGCGCAATTTGGGAATACACTGTGAGGAAGTATCAGGCGGGAGCCGTTGTGGCTGTTGTTGTAAACCGGGGGAGCAGTTTGGTGACACTCATCTTTTCTTTCGGAAAAAACAGTGTGCGAACCTTGGGAGAAGCACTTTAATGGAAAACATAGAATGGTTACCGGACGGGGGGATCAACAATCTTTATGTTATTCTCCAGAAATGAGAACTCAACAATCAGTTTAAGACTGTTCGCTCTTATCCGCTCGCGTGCCATTCAACACGTATAATCCAAATCCTCGATACCCGCCCTCTTCGCCTTCGATCGTGTTCCCATAGGGGTACATCTTTCTTACTGGCAACGTGTATTGCGTGCAGTCCTTAATGCAGAGGGCGAAAGGACGGATGGAAGGAAGGGACAAGGGGGAAGGCGGAATACGGAGCACGAGAGAGAGAGAGAGAGAGAGTAGCAGGAGGTGAGCTAGGAACTGAAATCACGTGGCAGAACCAGACGGGCAGGTCTGGGCGGGCAGACCCTATCGGGCGGGTCGGGCAGGCGGGCCCAGGCGGCCAGGTCGAGCAGGCGTGTTTCTGAAACGTGAGTATTGCATGAGTCGCGACGAGAGGTCGAGCGATAGCGCGATTCCCAAGTACATCGTGAGAAAGGCCAACGCGGGAGCGTGATTCCTGAGTGTCGACGACGCGGCGTCTGAATCTTCCGCGAGGGCGCGATTCCTGCATAACTTGTGTGGACGTCCGCGCGAGAGCGCCATTTGGGAATCCATTGTGAGGAAGTATCATGCGAGAGGCGTTGTTGTTATTGTTGTTGTTGTTGTTGAACATTATTTCTTCTTAAGAATAATTATTGTTGGGACCCCTGGTGCGCGACCCCCCTCCAAAACCTAGGCCGCAGCTACATTTTCATCATTTTTCTGCGAAAGCTTCAGAAAAGTGGATTATTACCGGATCCGGTTTTTTGTTGACGCTCGTTTTCCCTTGCAAAAAACACTATAAAATGAAAATTCTTGTTCTTAGTTGATCAAATTTCAAGAATCCCTTGCAAAAAATAAGGTAAAGTGGACATTCGCGCTCGCAAGACGAAATCCTTCCAAAACCTTAGGTTTCGTAGCGATTTTAACATAAAAACATCAAAAACCCAATGGTTTTTTAAGAAAAAATTGTCAAAATGTCCTTCCGCGCGCGCTGTCCGAATCCCACAAAACCAATGGTTTTTCAACATTTATGTTACATGAGCTCGCGCGAGCTACTTTTTCTTGTTCTAACATAATCAAATTTCAATAATCCCTTGCAAAAAATAAGGTAAAGTGGACATTCGCGCGCGCAAGACGAAATCCTTCCAGAACCTTAGGTTTCGTAACGATTTCAACATAAAAACATCAAAAACCCAATGGTTTTTCAAAAAAAAATGTCCAAATTTCATCCCGCGCGCGCTGTCCGACTCCCACAAAACCAATGGTTTTCAACATTTATGTTACATGAGCTCGCGCGACCTACTTTTTTTTGTTCTAACATAATCAATATTCCCTTGCAAAAAAAAGTAAAGTGGACATTCGCGCGCGCAAGACCAACAAAAAACACGACGATCTCAGGAACTTGCCCCAAAAATGTGACCAACTCCGCTCTCTCTGTCTCTCTCTCTGTCTGCTCTCTGTCTCTCTCTCTGTCTGTCTGTGTCATGTATTGTATGTCACAATTGCAGGATGCTGGGCACACGCGCGCCCCGAATAAGTGACCAAGTTCTGTGGGTGTGTACCCCACGCCAGTGTAGTAGCCACGGTCGTCCGCACGCCACGAAGTGAAGTGTCCCAACGTCATAGGGCGGGAAGCTGGGTTTGGGTGGTCGCGAAGAGTCGTTTGGATATTTGGTAGAGCTTGAACTGCCCCCCCACGAAGTGGGGGTATTGTCTCGCGTCGCATGAAAACCCTGGCACTGGTGAGAACACTGAGCGTTCGGGTAAAATGATTGTTGTTGTTGTTGTTGTTGTTGTTGTTGTTGGTGCTGTGATTGTTGTGGTTGGTGTTATTGTAGTTTTGGGCCCAACAGCCAGCTTTCCCTTGTAAAAAACTGGGTGCGAGCCCCGGGAAACGCATTTGCATTAGGTGGATCAAGAATGATACTTCGTTCGACATGAGAATTCAACAGCCATCTTTTTAAGACTGTTCGCTCTTATCTGCCCTCGGTGCCCGCCTCGCTCGTCTCCGATCGTACCCACCTGGGGGTCTATCTTTCTTACTTGCCGCGTGTAATTGGTGCAGCCCCTTAAACAGGAGAAGAGAGGACGGATGGAAGAGGGAAGGCGGAGGATGGAGCACGGGATTTGCAGGAGGGGGGTTGGGAGCAGAGAGCACGTGGCAGAACCAGACGGGCAGATCGGGCGGGCAGACCCTATCGGGCGGGTCGAGGAGGCGGGCCCAGGCGGCCAGGTCGAGAATGCGTGTTGCTGGAGCGTGGGTACTGCATAAATCGCGAGGATCGCTCGAGTGATAGCGCGATTCTCAAGTAAATCGTGAGAAAGGCCACAGAGAACGTGACTCCTGAGTGTCGACGACGCGGCGTCTGAATAAATTGCGAGGAAGTCCTCCGCGAGAGCGAGATTCCCGCGTGTGAGGAAGTCCCGCGCGAGAGCGCGATGTCGCAGTAAACGATGAGGAAGTATCGTGTGGGAAGCGTTGTTGTTGTAACTCGTGGGCCAGGGACCCAGTTTGGTGACCCCCAGCTTTCTTTTGTAAAAGACAGGGCGCCAGCCCCAGGAGGAGCACTCAAACCGAAACATGCACTGGTTACCGGAGGGGTGATCAACAATACTTACTTCCAGCAATGATATTCCAACAACAGCAACAACAGCAACAACAGCAGCAACAACAACAATCATTTCAAGATTGATCGTTTTTACTTGCTCGCGGGCCACTCAACACGTATATCCCAAACCTTCGATACGCGCCCTCGTCGTCTTCGATCGTACCCCCTTGGGAGGGATATATCTGTCTTACCTGCAACGTGTATTTCGCGCAGCCCCTAGGGAAGGGGGAGAGGGGACGGATGGAAGGAAGGGACAAGGGGGAGGGAGGAGGACAGGGCACGGGATTAGCAGGAGGGGGGCTAGGAGCAGAAAACCTCTGGCAGAACCAGACAGGCGGGTAGACCCGAATGGGCGGGTCGGGAAGGCGGGCCCAAGCGGCCAGGTCGAGCAGGCGGCTTTCAAGCGTGATTCTTGCATGATTCGCGAGGAAGTCTCGAGCGAGAGCGCGTTTCCTGAGTGTCGAGGGCGCGGCGTCTGAACAAATGGTGAAGAAGTCCCACGCGAGAGCGCGATTCATGTATAAACTGTGAGGACGTCCCGCGCGAGAGCGCGATTCGGGAAGAGATTGTAAGGAAATATCCGGCGGGAGCCGTTATTGTTGTAAACCGGAGGCCGAGGACACAATTCTGAGACCCAAGACATTCCTTGATAAGAAAAACAGGGTGCGAGCCCGAAAAGGGTATTTCAATTAAAAAAACACCATGTGCCCCGGATGGGGCGGCAACAGTAATTCTTCTTCAGTAGTGAGAGCTCAACAACAAGAATACACCACCACCAACAACAACAACAATAACAACAATAGTAAAAAAAACAAAGACGCCGAGGAAAAGGGCGACGGACGACGAATGATGGGCGACGGACCGATGACGGAGACGAGGACGACGGCAACATCGGCGAGGTCCACGACTACGACATTGACGACAAGGACGACGTGTACGATGGCGACGGTGACGACGAGGACATGGATAACGACGCTGACGACGATGGCGACGACGACGCTGACGGCACCGACGGCGAGGCCGACGACTGTAGGGACGACGACGACGACGACGACGTTGACGACGACGGCGGCGACGATGACGACGGCAACGATGCCGACGACAGCGACCACGACGACGACGCGAAGCCCGCCTGCTCCGCTCTGCCGCGGCCGCGGCTCGCCGACCCGTGCCGAGGCCGAGGCCTCCCCGAGACCGCGCAGCTCGATTTGTGACCCGCTCAGGCGGCAGAAGAAATGGCGAGCGATGGGCACCTGCTCGGAAGCTGGAGCATATACATATATATATATATATATATATACACATATATATATATACATATATATACATGACCACTGGCGGGCCGTCTTTCAATCCTGCGACTCTTCGAGGGGCGGGGACGACGTCGGGGTGGTCTGGTGTGTACTTGTTCCCCGCTTGCGCGGGGAAGCAACGAAACATGTATTCACCAGGATCCCGTATAGACCGGGATCCGCGTTCCTGTGCGAACTTCAGCGCAGGGTCGGAAAAAGCGTCGGTGTATAGAGTTCGTTTCCCTACTTGCCTCGGGCCGAACGAAAGGGGGGGAATAGGGAAAGGGGGAGGTACGAAATGTGCTGCGTGCAGCTGGTTTCGGCCCCGCCGCCGGGCCCGTTCCTCGATACGTGGGCGCCTCCCGGCGCCGGGAGGCGCCGGGAAAATCAGCTACGTGAGCTGATTCTCACCCCCCTCCTTTGCTATCCCCCCCTTTCGCCCAGCCCGATTGCCTTCGGCAGCAAATCATGGGGGCCTGGTATACCTCCTTAAATCCGTCTTCGGCGTCAACTAGCGTTGTGTTGGGCTTGTCCCTCTACAGGAAGAGTATTCAGAAATAGTCAAAAATAGTATAGGGACGATTTGTTGGTTATTTTTGGGGTATGTTTGGAGTATTGTTGGACTCTTTTTTAATTTTTCGTTCAAAATCGGCATGTAGGGGGACACGCCCGATCTGAGACTAGCGTCGATTAGCGTCGGGGAGTCGATGAGACAGCGCCGGTTTCGCATTGGTTAGCATCGAGTAGCGTCGACGTAGCGTCGATCGACGTCGACTTAGCGTTGACTAGCGTCGATTCGCAAGGAGCCGACAGGATGGTACGGGAGGCTCCCATGAGTTGCCACCGAGTCTTCCGAAATCCCTCACCCCCGACGACGGTTTTGCTGTGCTCCGTCTCGGCGCTCGTCCTCCACTTCGGCCTCCGGGGGCCGTTGGCGGGGCCCGTCACAGCAGCGCCCTCGCCGCAGCGCCGCACACACTCGTTTCAGAACCTTGCAGCGCCTGCAGGGACTGCGGGCGGCTCCTCGTCCAAGAGTGGCGCTCGCATTTGAGGACTTCTGGAACGCGTGGATACCAGAGACTTGAGGAGGAGGAGGAGGAGGAGGAGGAGGAGGAGGAGGAGGAGGAGGAGGAGGAGGAGGAGGAGGAGGAGGAGGAGTATGGACCGTTCAGGAAAGATATCCCCAGGCAAGGTCGGGACTTCTGGGGCCGCGGGCTGAACACATAGCATCGTCGGCTGCCGGGTCTCTCAGTTCGACACGCCAGCTACCAGGTGGATTGCTCGTGGCTGCGCGCAGCTGGCATCAGAATCCCGCTGCCCGCGGCGCACCCATGCAGCGCAGCAGCCCAGCAGGAGACCCGCTTCAGTTCCGTGCCTGGTACGAGTTAGAGCGGGTCCTGAATGCGGTCGGACCGAGGTGTAAGATCGGGGTCGGCTCGGGGAGGGTACCCTCATGTTCTTCGTGCCTGTCGGATGTTCTTGTGCATCCTGGGGAGGGTGCCCTGGGATATTCTGTTTCCCATGCTCTCTGAAGGATGCTTTTCCGTCCCAGCTCCGGCCGTACGCCCCGTCCGCAGCCTCGCCTTCCCTGCGGCTCTACGCGAAGGCCTCTACCCGAGGAGCCCGTCGGAGGTCTCGAGGCCGTCTTGGGCGTGCTCTCGGCCGGAGGGCCCTCGGCCCCGAGGCGGGACAACCTCCGGGAGCCGGCGATCCCTCCCGCACGCCTCCCAGGCGGCGAGCCGCGACCTCCCCGGCCGGGCCGTCGAGGGCCACTCCGGCGGAGCCGGGGGGGGTGGCGCCGTCGGGCAGCCCACGGCGGGCCCCAGCGTGTGCTCGAGGCTGTCGACGGAGCACCAGCCGCACCGCCGTGGAAGTCAGGGGCGGCCGGACCGACCCCCGGCACACCATCCCCCTCCGTGACGTCCGCCTCGCCTCGCCCGGAGACGCACGTGTGTGCGGCTGGAGGGGGGCTCGAGAAAGGCGAGGAGGGCGTCACGGAAGGGGGATGGCTTGCTGGGGGGTCGGTCAGGCCGCGCCCGACAAAGCAGCACACAGACAGTGCCATCGGTGTTTGGTCCTCCGCTCCGCCGGCTCGCGTTGGCGCCCGGGTCCGCGCGCGGCATCTCGGGGGCCAGCCCTGCGTGCACTGTGCGCGGCCAGCTTCCTTCTGGCGTGCGTTCAGTGCCGTCGGCGGAGAGCACCTGCCGCACGCCGTGGAGACAGCGCGGACAGTGCCGTCGGTGTCTGAGCGTCCGCTCCGCCGGCTCTCGTCGGCGCCCGGGTCGGCGCGCGGCTTCGCAGAGGCCAGCCCTGCGTGCGCTGTGCGCGGCCAGCTTCCTTTTTGGCAGATGCGTTTTCGAACGCGGTCGCTCGTGCGCGCGGGATCCCGCGGATGGCGCACGCGTGCCTGTGAGCGACGAAGGTGCGCATTTCTGATTATTCGAAGGTTCTTTGATTTTTTTGGGGGTCAAGATCCTTTCATTTCTACTTGATCTGTCCTGGGCCTCTTCCTGGCCACTAGGGGGCCAGGAACAGTTAGAAGCGAGCACACTTGTTCTACCCTGGGCCTCTTCCTGGCCACTAGGGGGCCAGGAACAACTAGAAATGAACACGATTCGAAACGAACGACGTGCACGCTGGCGCGCGAGACCTGCCCGCGCAAGGTCGCGCGGGAGTGCCCTCGACCCCGGAGTGGCGCGCCGCACCGGCGGCCCGCGTCGGCCGCAGCGTGGGGCCGCCGTGGCGTCTCGCGCGAGGCCCGTGCAGGTTCGTCGCTCGCGCGCGCCTCTGCTCGCCGAGGGTCAGGAGGGAAAAAACACACAGACACAATGAATCGTCGACTCCCCAGAGAATATTGGAAAATATGGGAAGTGGGCGGGAAGGCAAAAACCCAGAAAATATGGGAAAATATAAGGGATATTTTTATTTGTGTGTATCTATTTGTGTGTCCCAGTTCCCCTTCAGAGACCCGTTCAGTTTCGTCGCTCACGCGTGCCTCTGCTCGCCGAGGGGTCCACCAACCCCCCCGACCCAGCCCGAAGGCCCACAGTTGCCGCACATGTCCAGCGGGGGGGGGGGGGGTCGGGGAACGCTGAAGAACACGTCCGGAACTCGTAGCCCCCCGTCCAACCCGAATTGTTGGATCCTCGGGTGAGGTTGGGGTGTTCTGGCAGGGATCGAAGAAGAAAGAGCGGCATGAACGTAAACTGTTGGCGGTCCGCGCGGAGTTCTTGGACCCGCGCTGGCCCCCCCTCTCCCCGGGCGGTGCCTCAGGCGCCGCCCCTGGCGCGCTGCGCGCGCCAGGGAGGGAGGCCCAGCGCGGATCCGACAAGTCCGCGCGGACCTCCAAAAGCTCATGTTTATGTTGTTGTTGGTGTTGTTGTTGGTGGTGGTGTTGTTGTTGCTGTTGATGATGCTGATGTTAATGTTGTTGGTGTTGGTGTTGCTGTGTTTGCTGTTGCTGTTGCTGTTGCTGTTGCTGTTGCTGTTGTTTTTGCTGTATGGCTGTGTTGTTATGGTTGTGGTGTTATTGTGATGTTGTGTGTTGTTGCTCTGTCAATATGTGTTGCGCTGTTGTGTGCTGCTTCCTGGTTGTGTCTTCGTTGTGGTTGCTTTGTCTTGTTCCTCCAAGGTCGTCCACTCGTGGGCGGGGGGGCAGCCGCCACCCCGCGTCACCCCGGCTCCTCCTACTCCTCCTCCTCCTCCTCC